GTTATACCAGTCATGTCAGTAGTTAATATGGAGTTATATCAGTCATGTCAGTAGTTAATCTGGAGTTATATCAATCTTGCCAGTAGTTAATATGGAGTTATATCAGTCATGTCAGTAGTTAATATGGAGTTATATCAGTCATGCCAGTAGTTAATCTGGAGTTATATCAATCTTGCCAGTAGTTAATATTGAGTTATATCAGTCATGTCAGTAGTTAATCTGGAGTTATAGCAATCTTGCCAGTAGTTAATATGGAGTTATAGCGAACTTGCCAGTCGTTAATCTGGAGTTATATCAATCTTGCCAGTAGTTAATATGGAGTTATATCAGTCATTTCAGTAGTTAATATGGAGTTATATCAATCTTGCCAGTAGTTAATATGGAGTTATATCAATCTTGCCAGTAGTTAATATGGAGTTATATCAGTCGTGCCAGTAGTTAATATGGAGTTATATCAGTCATGCCAGTAGTTAATCTGGAGTTATATCAATCTTGCCAGTAGTTAATACGGAGTTATAGCGAACTTGCCAGTCGTTAATCTGGAGTTATATCAATCTTGCCAGTAGTTAATATGGAGTTATAGTGAACTTGCCAATCGTTAATATGGAGTTATATCAACCTTGCCAGTAGTTAATATGGAGTTATATCAGTCATGCCAGTCGTTAATATGGAGTTATATCAGTCATGTCAGTAGTTAATATGGAGTTATATCAATCTTGCCAGTAGTTAATATGGAGTTATATCAATCTTGTCAGTAGTTAATATGGAGTTATAGCGACCTTGCCAGTAGTTAATATGGAGTTATACCAGTCATGTCAGTAGTTAATATGGAGTTATATCAATCTTGCCAGTAGTTAATATGGAGTTATATCAGTCATGCCAGTAGTTAATATGGAGTTATAGCGAACTTGCCAGTCGTTAATATGGAGTTATATCAGTCATGCTAGTAGTTAATCTGGAGTTATATCAATCTTGCCACTAGTTAATATGGAGTTATAGCGAACTTGCCAGTCGTTAATCTGGAGTTATATCAATCTTGCCAGTAGTTAATATGGAGTTATATCAGTCATGCCAGTAGTTAATATGGAGTTATATCAATCTTGCCAGTAGTTAATATGGAGTTATATCAGTCATTTCAGTAGTTAATATGGAGTTATACCAGTCATGTCAGTAGTTAATATGGAGTTATAGCGAATTTGCCAGTCGTTAATATGGAGTTATATCAGTCATGTCAGTAGTTAATATGGAGTTATATCAGTCATGCCAGTAGTTAATCTGGAGTTATATCAATCTTGTCAGTAGTTAATATGGAGTTATATCCGTCATTTCAGTAGTTAATATGGAGTTATACCAGTCATGTCAGTAGTTAATATGGAGTTATAGCGAGCTTGCCAGTCGTTAATATGGAGTTATACCAGTCATGTCAGTAGTTAATATGGAGTTATAGCGAACTTGCCAGTAGTTAATATGGAGTTATATCAGTCATGCCAGTAGTTAATATGGAGTTATATCAGTCATTTCAGTAGTTAATATGGAGTTATACCAGTCATGGCAGTAGTTAATATGGAGTTATAGCGAACTTGCCAGTCGTTAATCTGGAGTTATATCAGTCATGTCAGTAGTTAATATGGAGTTATATCAATCTTGCCAGTAGTTAATATGGAGTTATATCAGTCATTTCAGTAGTTAATATGGAGTTATATCAGTCATGCCAGTAGTTAATATGGAGTTAAATCAATCTTGCCAGTAGTTAATATGGAGTTATATCAGTCATGCCAGTAGTTAATCTGTAGTTATATCAATCTTGCCAGTAGTTAATATGGAGTTATATCAGTCATGTCATTAGTTAATATGGAGTTATAGCGAACTTGCCAGTCGTTAATATGGAGTTATATCAGTCATTTCAGTAGTTAATATGCAGTTATATCAGTCATGCCAGTAGTTAATATGGAGTTATATCAATCTTGCCAGTAGTTAATATGGAGTTATACCAGTCATGTCAGTAGTTAATATGGAGTTATATCAGTCATGTCAGTAGTTAATCTGGAGTTATATCAATCTTGCCAGTAGTTAATATGGAGTTATATCAGTCATGTCAGTAGTTAATATGGAGTTATATCAGTCATGCCAGTAGTTAATCTGGAGTTATATCAATCTTGCCAGTAGTTAATATGGAGTTATATCAGTCATGTCAGTAGTTAATCTGGAGTTATAGCAATCTTGCCAGTAGTTAATATGGAGTTATAGCGAACTTGCCAGTCGTTAATCTGGAGTTATATCAGTCATGTCAGTAGTTAATATGGAGTTATAGCGAGCTTGCCAGTCGTTAATATGGAGTTATACCAGTCATGTCAGTAGTTAATATGGAGTTATAGCGAACTTGCCAGTAGTTAATATGGAGTTATATCAGTCATGCTAGTAGTTAATATGGAGTTATATCAGTCATTTCAGTAGTTAATATGGAGTTATACCAGTCATGTCAGTAGTTAATATGGAGTTATAGCGAACTTGCCAGTCGTTAATCTGGAGTTATATCAGTCATGTCAGTAGTTAATATGGAGTTATATCAATCTTGCCAGTAGTTAATATGGAGTTATATCAGTCATTTCAGTAGTTAATATGGAGTTATATCAGTCATGCCAGTAGTTAATATGGAGTTAAATCAATCTTGCCAGTAGTTAATATGGAGTTATATCAGTCATGCCAGTAGTTAATCTGTAGTTATATCAATCTTGCCAGTAGTTAATATGGAGTTATATCAGTCATGTCATTAGTTAATATGGAGTTATAGCGAACTTGCCAGTCGTTAATATGGAGTTATATCAGTCATTTCAGTAGTTAATATGCAGTTATATCAGTCATGCCAGTAGTTAATATGGAGTTATATCAATCTTGCCAGTAGTTAATATGGAGTTATACCAGTCATGTCAGTAGTTAATATGGAGTTATATCAGTCATGTCAGTAGTTAATCTGGAGTTATATCAATCTTGCCAGTAGTTAATATGGAGTTATATCAGTCATGTCAGTAGTTAATATGGAGTTATATCAGTCATGCCAGTAGTTAATCTGGAGTTATATCAATCTTGCCAGTAGTTAATATTGAGTTATATCAGTCATGTCAGTAGTTAATCTGGAGTTATAGCAATCTTGCCAGTAGTTAATATGGAGTTATAGCGAACTTGCCAGTCGTTAATCTGGAGTTATATCAATCTTGCCAGTAGTTAATATGGAGTTATATCAGTCATTTCAGTAGTTAATATGGAGTTATATCAATCTTGCCAGTAGTTAATATGGAGTTATATCAATCTTGCCAGTAGTTAATATGGAGTTATATCAGTCGTGCCAGTAGTTAATATGGAGTTATATCAGTCATGCCAGTAGTTAATCTGGAGTTATATCAATCTTGCCAGTAGTTAATACGGAGTTATAGCGAACTTGCCAGTCGTTAATCTGGAGTTATATCAATCTTGCCAGTAGTTAATATGGAGTTATAGTGAACTTGCCAATCGTTAATATGGAGTTATATCAACCTTGCCAGTAGTTAATATGGAGTTATATCAGTCATGCCAGTCGTTAATATGGAGTTATATCAGTCATGTCAGTAGTTAATATGGAGTTATATCAATCTTGCCAGTAGTTAATATGGAGTTATATCAATCTTGTCAGTAGTTAATATGGAGTTATAGCGACCTTGCCAGTAGTTAATATGGAGTTATACCAGTCATGTCAGTAGTTAATATGGAGTTATATCAATCTTGCCAGTAGTTAATATGGAGTTATATCAGTCATGCCAGTAGTTAATATGGAGTTATAGCGAACTTGCCAGTCGTTAATATGGAGTTATATCAGTCATGCTAGTAGTTAATCTGGAGTTATATCAATCTTGCCACTAGTTAATATGGAGTTATAGCGAACTTGCCAGTCGTTAATCTGGAGTTATATCAATCTTGCCAGTAGTTAATATGGAGTTATATCAGTCATGCCAGTAGTTAATATGGAGTTATATCAATCTTGCCAGTAGTTAATATGGAGTTATATCAGTCATTTCAGTAGTTAATATGGAGTTATACCAGTCATGTCAGTAGTTAATATGGAGTTATAGCGAATTTGCCAGTCGTTAATATGGAGTTATATCAGTCATGTCAGTAGTTAATATGGAGTTATATCAGTCATGCCAGTAGTTAATCTGGAGTTATATCAATCTTGTCAGTAGTTAATATGGAGTTATATCCGTCATTTCAGTAGTTAATATGGAGTTATACCAGTCATGTCAGTAGTTAATATGGAGTTATAGCGAGCTTGCCAGTCGTTAATATGGAGTTATACCAGTCATGTCAGTAGTTAATATGGAGTTATAGCGAACTTGCCAGTAGTTAATATGGAGTTATATCAGTCATGCCAGTAGTTAATATGGAGTTATATCAGTCATTTCAGTAGTTAATATGGAGTTATACCAGTCATGGCAGTAGTTAATATGGAGTTATAGCGAACTTGCCAGTCGTTAATCTGGAGTTATATCAGTCATGTCAGTAGTTAATATGGAGTTATATCAATCTTGCCAGTAGTTAATATGGAGTTATATCAGTCATTTCAGTAGTTAATATGGAGTTATATCAGTCATGCCAGTAGTTAATATGTCGTCTTAGGATCTCCTATTGGCATACAGCAGGGGTAGGAAACCTTCATATGTTTTTGACTAGTGTTCGCCATAGAGCGTAGTGACGGGATAGAGCGGCCATAGAGCGCAGTGACGGGATAGAGCGGCCATAGAGCGCAGTGACGGGATAGAGCGGCCCCTAGTGTTCGGCATAGAGCGCAGTGACGGGATAGAGCGGCCCCTAGCGGACGGTACGCGGTATAGAGCGGCTCTCCCGGGCGGGGTCGGACACTCGGCAGGCAGGCGGCTCCCGGGGCAGACACACAGTAAGTAGCGGCCGGGGTTCGGGCTGGGTGACGCTCTGTGTGACTCTGTATTAGGAGCTGTGTCTCTGTATAGTGTGTGTGTGTCAGACTGGGCTGGAGGGAGCCATGGCAGCAACTTTATACCCAGTGCCAGCAACTTACTGCACATCCTGTGTGTGACATGGCTTCTCCCTCTGTATAACGGCTTCTCCCTCTGTATAACGGCCTCTCCCTCTGTATAAGGGCTTCTCCCTCTGTATAACGGCCTCTGCCTCTGTATAACGGCCTCTGCCTCTGTATAACGGCCTCTGCCTCTGTATAACGGCCTTCTCCCTCTGTATAACGGCCTCTGCCTCTGTATAAGGGCTTCTCCCTCTGTATAAGGGCCTCTGCCTCTGTATAACGGCTTCTCCCTCTGTATAACGGCCTCTCCCTCTGTATAACGGCCTCTCCCTCTGTATAACGGCCTCTCCCTCTGTATAACGGCCTCTCCCTCTGTATAACGGCCTCTCCCTCCCTCTGTATAACGGCCTCTCCCTCCCTCTGTATAACGGCCTCTCCGCTCCCTCTGTATAACGGCCTCTCCGCTCCCTCTGTATAACGGCCTCTCCGCTCCCTCTGTATAACGGGGCCTCCGCTCCCTCTGTATAACGGGGCCTCCGCTCCCTCTGTATAACGGGGCCTCCGCTCCCTCTGTATAACGGGGCCTCCGCTCCCTCTGTATAACGGGGCCTCCGCTCCCTCTGTATAACAGCTGTTCCCTTGTATAAAACATCCTCCATCTGTATATAACACTGCCTCTGCCCTGTATATAACAGTGTTTACCGGAGATAATGGCGCAAATTATGGGGTAAGTAAGTTAGTCACAGATGGCACAGCAGGCAAACCTGTACCATACAGAAACAACATCGCTACCAGGAT